GATATTATTTCAGATACCAATGGCTAAAAGTCATGCTTATAGAGATAATTTAATTTGATAAATTTCTACAAAGAAATCTTCAAACATCTTAAAGAAATTCTTCAGAGGGGATAAAAAAAGAGGTTCACAAACACAAAAATATGTTAGTTTAGGAATCTTGTCTCACGCAAAATTACAAAAGAATTAACTCTAAAATTGATTTTAAAATAATCTTCGGTTTCCTGTTGAATGGATGTCATGACTTCAATTGAGACTCTGAATTAGGATGTTTGTTGTGAGCAACATATTAATTTTTCCCCATTTCATGACTTCAATTTAGACTCTGAATTAGGACGTTTGTTGTGAGCAACATATTAATTTGTCCGGGAAAAGATGAAATTATATATAAGGATGCATAAATCATTCACATGAACAAGAAATTAGATGATTAAAAAATAAGATATATAACGATATAATATATAAAACTATTTACATAAACCAAAAAAATACTAATTCTGTTATGTTGAAAATTTATGTCCCTAAAAAGTGAAATGAATGAGTACGGATTATTTCTTTTACTAAACCTTGAATATAGCTGCCTTTAACTCCAACATTTGCAAATAAAAATTTATATACGTATATATATTATCTCTTGTTTTAAATATTTTAACAGACATATCATCAAATTTTACTTTGGTTTGGTGCAATAGTTACACGCCAGTCCAATTTCCCCAGAGATATTGATGTGATGAGTGCTTTTTTAGTTCTCACTTATTAAGTAATTTTATAATTTTATAATATACGGAATAAATATTATATATATGAAGAATTTTGTTTTATGAAGCGTAAAAGTACTTTTTGATCAAACTTGACCCAAAATCTTTTGGGATTTGGCTGGAAGAGATAGCGAGTTTATGCCAATGAACATTTTGCCAATGAGCATAAAATTTAAATGCTTATCAGAAGAGGCATTAAAATTTATGGGCTTGTTTTTTTTCTTTATATGTTTTTTTCCCCTGTTTTCAGAATAATTTTATAAAATTATTTTTAGAACAAATTTTGCAACAAAAAAAAAAGGAAAAATTTTTATGGATAACTATTTAAAAAATAACATTAAAAAAAACATAAAACTTGCTATTTAACTCTAGAAAAATAAAATTACAAATTAATTAAGTCAATCAAATAAGTAATTGTTAAATGAAATACTACACGTCAACATAAATTGGCTTATTTCTTGACACCTGAAGCATAGTTATCCTAAACTTTTATTCAAATCAACCTAAGTAATCTTTTATCCCAATTAAAATATTCAATTGATGACTTAATATTTAAGCTAAGCCAAGAGACTACTGTATCTACGATCAAAACAGTTATAACCCATCAAATTTTATACCCATTCCACATTATTAGGTAGAAGAACATAAGATAAAAACACACAGAAGTATTCATAAAGTTACCAATTTATGGTTAAACACAAATCTATAAAGAAAAATTTTAATCCAGTTTTACCACTAAAAAAGAAACTATTTTTGACATAATTAACAAGTTTTAGTGACCAAAAAATTCCATTGCTAATTTCCATGACAACATTTTCAGTGGCAAAACTATTCCGTTGGTAATCCATAGCAAAGAATTTTAGCAATGCAATTTTATTTAGCTAATTTCTGTCACTAGATTACTTGACCTGGGAGACACATGGCGAGCGGTGGCCATCATGGGCAGGGAGGCGTGGTGACTAGTGGGAACACTTGGTGGGCAGTGGCCGTCACCAGTATTGATCATATTTTGATTTTCTCTAAGTAGAGAGGCTAATGATAGTAAATCCATTTGTAAAGGTATTATGCGAGAATCAACAGCTTCAAAACCAGTGTGTTGAAGTGCCTCTTAATAATAAGATATAATTTCATAGGCGATTGGCCGAAAGTGATGCTCATTAATGTAGTTGGATAAATTTCTCCAAAGAAATCCTAAAACATCTTGGAGTAATTCTTCACAAAGAATGTGAAAAGAAAGTTCAAACACAAGGTAAGACGTGGATTCAAGAAATCCCATCTCATCCTAATTCACAAAAGAATTAACTCTAAAATTGATGTTAAAACAATCTTCATAAGCAGCTTCTTGAATACGTGTCATGTCCTCAATTTCGATTTCGAAGTATGATGTTACCGTGAGAAAAATATTAATTTGTCCTGAAAAACGTGAATTTTTATATACGAATGAGTAAATCAATAATATGATCAAGAAGTTAGATAATTAAAGAAAAGAACATATAATGATCTAATTCATAGAAATATATGCGCAACTTGAAAAAATAGTAAAATTTTTTTATTTTGAATATTGCCGTCTTTTACACATCACGTACTTGATGTAAAATTTTTTGGGAAATTACGTTAAGATTCCACCCAAAAAAAACTAAATACAAAAAAATTCCTTTGCAATTATCAAATTTATCTGAAGTTTCAAAAGACCTCATTATAAAAAAATTCTACTTGTTTAATTAGTAAACTGTCCTCATATTCTTTTTTAAGTATGCATTAACAATTGATATGACAGTCATTAACAACTTAAGGTATAATGGCTAACAACTATCGCATCATGTATTAATAACATATTTTCTCAGTAATTTGTAGCATGAGTTGACAACTAAAAAAGTAATCATTAACAACTTAACATGTGTTTGGATTACTGTTGAAACCACAAAACATGTCTTGTACAAAATATGAGGTAGAGGATCGCATTGACACTCAGACCCAGTTTCCCTGCTAAGCAGTGTGATGAGCACCAAGTGCTCATTACCCAAACACAGTGTTTTAATTAATAGAAGGCAAGGCTCCATTGTTTTATTCATTCAGTTGTAGTTTTTCAAAAAATTTGATCCCTGACTAGATATAGAATCACGAATCATTGATGGCAAAAATATTTCTTTTATCTTCATTAGGAAATTATGATTAGAAAAAAAAATTATATATCAAGAATGAAATCTCAAAGATAATTTAATTAAGTAAATAAAATTATTGTCTCAACATTAACCTAATTGAAGAGTCTCTAACACGCTTGGTGTCAACTTTTAGAGGAAAAAGAGTTTCTGCGATTGAAGGCTGGGAGAAAACATCAAATAAAATAAAATAAAAAGCTTTTAGATTGAAGGTGCCCAAACTAAAAGCACTACAAGAATTTTTGAAAGTTTCTATTATTTCACGGCAAAGAAAAGTTTCGGATTGAAGGAGGAACTTGACATTCTAATCATAGGTTGGTTTTGATTCTGTCTATACTTTCTAGTTGTTTCTTTAATTACATATATAATATTTGTTTAATAGTTATATATGTGGAATTAATATTTGAAGAGTAACCATATTTTATTGAAATGTGTAATTAGTAAAAAAAAAAAAAGGGAATTCTTGTTTAGGCTTTTATATATATTGCAAGATAATATTTTTAAAATTACAATGTTTTATTGTATATAGGAACCAGCTAATGAAAGATGAACTTAAACTCCAGATAGCAAGGGAGCTCAAACAAGTAAATAATAAACAAGAATATGGCTTTTTGGTAAACGTGAATGTATATGCATTATCTAAGGATTCAAGAGAGGTGAGAAGCGAGCATTTGAAACTATAGTTCAGGTAAATATTCCTTTAAATACCTCAACCTTCTAATTTGAACATTTGGGCACATAATATGGATTTATTGGAAACTTGAATTAGTGGCCAGCAAATGCATGGAAAAACAGAGCCAAAGCATTGGGGTCATCATTTTTATTTTATCAAAATCAACTTTATTTGTCTAGCTTAATATATCAGCCTTCACGGTCTATGAGATTATCTTCTACAAACTAAGCTTTGTTTTACCATTAACGTCTATGAGACATTCCTATTGCTTTCATCACATAACATACATATAATAAAAAGATTTAATTTGTCACAAATAAAATGCAGGAACCAAATTTAGGGAGATGCGATTCAACATAACAAGTTCCAAATTTTTCTTTCACATTTTTTCTCTACTAACATGAACTTTCATTCTCCATATTCACAAGTTATCCTCTTCAGAATGTGACAAAAAACTGCTAAGTTGCTTCCAAAACTTAATACTTCCAATAGAGATCAAATCCAAAATCAACGCTGCTTTATGCGGATTTTTTTGGTCTGCATTTGAACCAAAGTGGTGCCATTTTTCTACAAGAAATCAATGAAAATTAGCATCTAAACCATGATTTTCAATTTTTGCAATGGCTGAGTCTTCTCTTCTTCAAATCCTACCTTGGTTCATGAATCCCTACAGCATCAAATCAGATCTGTGCAATCTTTCCAAGCATCATCGAATTGAATCTCTCACCATACGCCGCTGAACCATGTGTCATCTTCAACCTCCATTTGTTGAGCACCGTAGAGTTTAATGCCCCCATGCGCCACCCAAGGACAGCCACCGCTGATGAGGCTCATAGGGATGCCGAGAAGAGAAGCAGAGTCTAGCCTCGTCCGTTGGAGTCTTCTCACAGTACAGCAGGGATATTTCAGAATTGGACGGTTAGGATTATCATACAACCAATGGCCAAGATTTCTCCATTCTTTAGTAAAACGATGCGTTTGGGTGATGAGCACTTGGTGATCATCACAATGCTTAGCAGGGAAACTGGGTCCGGGCAAAAGACTCTGTAAACATCTAGGTTCCAGTTTTTCTGATTTTAAACCCCACTCGCAGATTTTACTAATTTTTTTATAGGCTATTTATTACTTTATTTTGATTTTGATAACAAAAAGGATGAGTTCTTTGTTTCACTTGTTCTGAACTATTCATTAACCCTTCCGTTATTCTCGTTGGTAACATTTTAAAATTGTGTAAAAAAATTGCGGCACATGTCCTACAATTTAGTTTAAACTAATGACATGATTAAAATTTCCACTTAAAAGAAAAAACTAAAACTGTGAACAGCATCCACCATTGCACTTCCAAGTGCGAACTCATACCCGTCAAATCAAAATACAACAAACAGAACAAGAAAAATACAACAACGCGATTTCAAGAATACCCATAACGAGAGTTTTACTTCATATAATCCAGCCGTCTTCTAGAAGTCCTTCTGACCACGAAGCTCAACAATGCTTTCTTCTAGAAGTCGTCTCCTCCACAGTCGTCGTCTCCAAAACGATCATCCTCCACTTTCTCTGCGGCTTTTTCTGCAATATGATCCTCCCAAGCATCATAACCTTCTGCAAGTGCCAGTCCCCCCAAAGCTCCAGCCACTGCTCCCACAGCTAATCCCGTCCCCATCCCACCAAACTTGCTCTTCTTTTTCTCCTCCCCTCCATACGCCGGCTGACTCTCCTGACCGTAACCGTAACTCGGCTGTCCGTAGGCCGTTGGCGGCGGATGCGGAGGTGTGCTGTAACCACTGTGTGGGTACCCGGCTGGAGGGGGCTCATTGTACCCCCTGTGTGGATACCCAGCCGGAGGCGGCGCTGAATAGTACGGATCTTGTGGCGGTGCGTTGTATGGGTGACCATACAGCGGCGGGGCACCAGCGTAGTTACGCGCAGGGTAGCCTATTTCTCTAATGGAAACACCAACCTCCACCTTACCTTGTGGTCTCCCCGACGGTCGTTTCAGGGTCAATTTGCGGGGGGCGCGATCGCCGATCCCGACGTCTTGAAGAAGCTCGTTGAGCTCAAGCTTAGCCGAGCCGATGAGCGGCTTGGTGTCCTCCTCGGAGCCAGCGTGGACGACGTCGATGTAGAGGGTGAAGTCCTCAATGGGACCGGCCGGAGGCAAGGGGATACGGAGCGTCTCATCCCACTGGGCTTCAGTGTCGCCGGATTCGTCGGCCTTAGTGGAGCATTTGTTCTTCGGGTCAACCCAAACGACGGCGTATGGGCGATTGGGGCCGTGACGCCAGTTCACGTTCTTCAGTTTCTTAGCAGACTCGATCTTAACTTCCACTTCGTAGCGAGAACCCATGGATGTGGTTGAAGATAGAGAAGTGTATTAGGAGTTAGGAACTTGGGATGCCAAAAACCAGTCGGGTGATTAGGGTTTTATAGCTCAGCGATGAAGGTGGAGAGTGGCACGCTAATGTCTTATGGAACGGATCTCGAGCTGTTGGTTTATTTTTCGCTGCTGGTTTATTTTTCTCAACCGATGTTCCTTTTGAAATACTCCCTCTCCCTCTATCAAGTTGCACCTTTTGGTATTAAAATACACTCCGGTTAATAATATGAAAAATTGGTTAATTTTTTTAACATGCTCAGAAATAATAAAAGTTTAATCATTAAATATGTAATGACAAAATTTTTCTATTTTATTTCTAAAAAAATGATAAAATTGCCTCTAATGTTACACATTTTTTATCTCTCATTTCTCTCCTCTCTCCCCTATATTTAATAGGGGTGACAGTAAAAAAATCATACTACCTACGGTTCTAATTATAAAATATTATTTGTAGATTATAAATAAAGCCTTATAATTAGGACCAAAGGTAATATTTATTATCTTGGCAACATCTTATATTTTGAATTATAATTTTTTTTATAACTAAAGTCTAATATTATGAACCTAATTTACAATCAAATCCCAATATCCCATAAATCCCAATGTTAGTTAAATTAATAAATGTATAAAAGATATAATTGCTTTTAAATTTATATTTATAACGAGGACGAGTAAAAAAGAGGCAATAAGTGAAAGAAGATGGGAGTTGAAAAAAATGACGGAAACATATAATTAGTTGGAGATAAAAAGGAAAACAGTGCATTGAACTTCGAGAAAAACACAAATTGTTACTTGTATATATGATCAACCCTATATGAGAGATTTGTTTTTTTTTTTTTTTTGCCAGAGAAAAAAAGATATTTGTATGTAGAAGCAGAGGGAGTATATATATATATATATATATAGAGAGAGAGAGAGATAAATTTTGGTATAAATCTAAACCTTTACATAAGTTGCACTTTATATATCTCTGAAAATTCAATTCAGTTTTTCTATTTTTACCTTCATTGGTTACATGTCTCTACGTTAGTTAAAAATCATACTCAGTAGACTCTCTTATGATCTATAACAGTACCTTTTAAAAAATATATATTTCTCATATGTTTACTGCATTTAATTAACGGATTTTGTACTTTTACATATGTAGGTTTAGTGGAGTATCATCCAGTGTGGGCAAAAAACAAGGAAAGCCGTGGCTTAGCAATTAAGTAATTGCTTACCTCGTATAGATCTAGAGTCCTTTTTGTAAACTTATATTTTTTAGAAGGGATGTTCACACTTCAAACTTGATTTATTTATTTATATTCTATGCTTAAGGGAAGCGTGGGACTGGAATAACTAGAAGGTCACGCCAAAGGAAAACGTTGGATTGGGTTTGAAATTTGAATAATGTCACTTGGAATCGATGTCACACCACTACGCGGAGTGAACACAGTGTTAACACGGTCGTACTTCACATGATCTGCTAATATATATGTGTAAAAAAATGACAACTTGCTTATCTATAAGCATATTCCTGCTAGACTTCAGACCCACCTACTGCATATCAAATTTTGTCATATTTATTCTAAGCAGGTTGTAGCATATACTATATCACTACTCAGTCTACTTCACACCGAAGTCAATTTTGTAAGGATTAATGAACAAATTTACTCTGGAAGTTTTCACTCATGAGTACTGGACAACCAAAAATCTTTTTGAGTGCAAATTTGCTTTAAAAATTTAAAATCATAGCAATATTGCTCCTATTACTAAAAAAAACTAAGATTAGTCATTAAAATAGTGATATTAACGGTTAACATTTTTAATCATAAGAGACAACATTGCTATGATTTCAAACTTCCAAGCAAATTTGCATCTCCAAAAAAATTTTAGATACTTAACATTTCTGAGTAAAAACTTCTAAGATAAATTTACACCTTAACCCTTTTTATAAGCTATGTGTTTGATCTGTCACCTTCTTAATAGGGTGTGTTCAAGGCCGGCCCGTCCCAATCGGCCTGTTCCGGTCCCAGTCTTATTGGGACGGGACGGATCCGTCCCGAAATTTTTCGGGACGGATCCGTCCCGAAATTTTCGGGACGGGACAAAAAGGGTCCGGGACGGGACGGGACACGGGACGGGGTCGTCCCGTCCCGGTTCCTTTTTTTTTTAATTTTTTAAATTTTTTATCCTATTTATATAATATCATTTTTTAATATTTTTTTAAGATTTGAAACTATTGTATGGAACTATGGATATATTTATTTAGAGTTTTTATATTTGTTAATGATTTGAGATTATTGATGATTAGAATTTTTAGCAAGTTTTTATTGTGTTAAAAGCTTTTGTTTAGAGTTTTTAATGACTATTATATGTAATATTTTGAGCTTTTGTTTAAGAGTGCTCAAACAAATAAAAAAGAAAATAAAAAATGTTTTTATAATATTTAAGCTCAAAAAAATATAATTAAAAAATCAAAATTTTTAAAAAAAATTTAAAAATTTTTTAAAAAAATTAAAAAAAATATTTTCGAGACGTCCTGGTCTCGTCCCGTCCCGACCGGGACCGAGACAACCCTAGGACAGGCTGGGACACGGGACAGAAAATCTGTCCCGTTACTGTTCATCGGGACGGAACCGGGACGGGCCTATCCCGGTCCCGATCCGTCTCGTGAACAGCCCTACTTCTTAACATGATTAGAGCCAACAGGCTCAACTCACCAACCCATCATAAGGGGACGGGTTATGTTGAAAAAAATAAGAATTATTTTGATGTTGTCCTTTTCAACCTGTGCTTCTCAACTCGTAGCCTACCACGAGTTAACCCACCAACCCCCCCTTTTTTTTTACCATTTTTATTTTAATTTTAATAAGAAAAAGTTATATTATTTTCACTTAATTTACGTATAACTTTGTATTTTAATAAAGACTTTGATTCTAAGTCTGATTTCTCTTTTTTTTTTATTGCTTTATCATTTTTATATTAAAAGAATAACTATTAACAATAAATTATATGTTTATCTTTTAACTTTTGGGATTAATTTAATTATATAATTATATGAAAATATAAGAATAAGAAGAATTTGGTTGTTAAAAATTTATAATTTAACTTAAAAATTCTAAATATATGTGTAAAAATTTTAAAAAAAATTGATAGAGGCAGGCGGATTGCCTCACTAACCCATCCTTTGGTGGGGTAGGTTGGCCAAATGTGAGCTAGTTAGGAGGCGATCTTTTTAGGATTGGTCTACATGGTCTCGAGCCTATAGTGGGCAAGCCTGTAATTTTTGGACCAATTTGTTTTACAGCCTTTAAACATGATAGTCATACACATATATAAAAAAAAATGCTACACTGCCTCAACCATGCTCACCCACAAAAGCAAATAATGTAATAGTTCTCTTGTTTCATAAAATAATACCATAGTGTAACGAATTCTGTAGAGGTGTACATATTTTTTATAAAAAAGTAAAAAAGAATATTTGTCTGATGCCCTTTTTCAATTGATTTCCTGAATATATAGGAGTTCAATTGTAATTCAAGGTTACAAAGTAGAGACAATTTGACACATTCCCCAACCATGAAATGTTCAAAGAGGTTGGTTAATTTTAGAGAACCCCAAGATCGGCCTATGAATTTTATATAAATAAAATCTTGACAGTAGCTGCTCCTACCTTTGCTACTCTTACAACTATCTTTGTTCAATTCTTACACATTCATTGCCATTTCTAGGCAAGTAAGTAAAGGATAGTAGCGATATCTGCCTCTCTCTTTGAATTCATATTCTTTGATGCATCCTTCAATGCCTAAAGCCCCTTTATTAGAGTTAGGTCTGGGAACCAATAGAATACAGAGAGCAAAGTGGGTGTAGTGGAAGATTGCAGAATCTTAGGACTCACTTTCAAGGTACTAAAAACTGAACCGGTGAATGAACCGGTTAAGGCAGTGGGTTAAGGGTCAGTGGATCAGATTGGAGTCAAACCGAAGTAATTGGTAATAATTAAAATAATATAATTTAATAAAAGTTTATAAATATATTCTTATTTTAATTATGATTTATTCTCTTTCCTTCTTCGACACAACAAGTCTTTTTTCTCTGTTTTTTTTCACACACAACAATCAATATGATTGACAAATTTATTATCTCTTTCCTCCATTAATACTTTTTCTGACTCTCTTTCTCTAATAAAAGTAATAATAAATTAATAATAATCACTTTCTTCCTCGGGTGATTTCCTCAATCAAAACCCATTATCAGTTGCGTCTTCGGATATCTTCAAACTAGAGAGGAGCAGCCCACGAGTGTCTTCGGATTTCCTCAAACAAGAAAGGAGTGCCCGCCGGTAAGTCTCAGCTCACCCACAAGCTAGAAGGAGTGCACCTTAAGGCTTGGAGACTTTCAGTAGCCTCCATGACTTCTCTTTGGCCAGATCTAATCAGTCCCTCTTCTTTGAACTTAATGTCGTCTGCGTCTGCAATGGTCCAAGAGGGAGATCTAACTAGTAGAATGGAAGAGGGAGCACAAGCAAGAAGCCATTTTGTATGGTAGTGGTAGGTAAGGAGAACAGTAGCGAGATCCGGTGACTAAGTTTTCCTTCCCTTTTTTTTTTCAAAATAAACCGGTAACCCGCCTAGCCTAACGAGTTATCCGGTTTAGTCTTGGGTTATCCCAGTTTAGACCAAGTCATACTGGTTCAGTTTTTCTTCGATTTTTTGTGATCACCCAAACCGGACAGGCGATCGGTTCGCTGGTTTCCGATATGAATTAGCATGTCCGATCTGGTTTTTAATTACATGCTCACTTTATGACAGTGCCTGTCCCCCTCTTAGTCATAGCGAGAGTTGGTAAAACATAAAGGATTAGTCCAGCCTCTCCATACCAATGGATTTAATAAACTTAAACAATATAATAAACAAAAAAAATCGCATTAAATTATAAAAAAAACAATTTAACTCATTAAAAACAATAAATTAGATAATTAAATTTCAAAAATATAAATAATTTTAAACATAAAGGAAATTAAATTAATCAAGTTCATAAACAATAGACAATTAAAATATTATATAAACCAATAATAAAAAGCTAGAAATATATAAAAATAATAAA